GGAGGAGGAGGAGGCCGACAGCGGATGGGCACAGGATTCAGGGCCGAGCGGACAACCGGCCGTTTCTTCTTCTCATGTATGCGACAATCGGGTTTGCCAGAGGAGCGACAATTGGAGCACGGAAAGCCAACGGCACGGGCATCGCAGCGCACCTTTCGGCGATGGCAATGGACGCATGCAGCACCTGGGCAGAGCAGTCACAGTTAGCAATTGCCCCGAAATATGTCCATGCCACCCATTATTCATACCTAGCTTCCGTTTCGTCACCCCGTCGGCAGAGGGCTGCGCACTGTCACTCGCAGCCGATGCCATGTCGAAGCGGAGCTCTGCATTGACTCAATTATCTGTCGAAGCGCATCTGGGCAGACGGTCGCCTTGATTCCGGATTCCTTGGGCTGTGCGGTGCCGCCATGAGGCAATTTGGACGACTGATCCTGACAGCAAGGCGGACGTCGTCTGCAACGAATTTGGCAAAACCAGGATGAGTGAGATCCATATCAGCCGTCAGCAGCAGCATTCGGCGGGATCCGTATCTGTGGAGGAAAGCGTGGGGCGCCAGACTAGAGTCGCTGCCCCATCGAGCAAGAGCAGCCGGGCTGTCACGTGGCATGGATGTCATGCCGCATCTCGACCCCGGATTCCAGGCGCCGGGGAAAGCTTCCCGAAATGAAGGATCATTGGTCCGAGGCAGCTTGGAGCTAAATCCCAGAAGGCCGGTCAGGATGTCAAAGGCGGAGGAGAGCTCTGAGATCCGAGAGAGCGACGGGTGATGGGCACTGTAAATACGGAGTAAATCTACTGTAGAACAGGTCGCTGGAAAGCAGGTGGTCTACGCCATTCTTAGAACGCGACTTCCGTTGCCAATCGCAATGCAACGTAAATAAAATGCAATAGTCTTGTTTTATAAAGCGCCTAAATGATAGTCCATTATACCAGAGTTAAATGACAAACGGATCCGAACTCAAAGATGCCATCCTGTTTCCCAGTCCCTAACAGTTCCTTGCCTTGAGCGCCTGCTTGCGTCGTCCTCTTCTAGCTCCAAATAGCATGTTCTCGCAAACATTCGACCTCCCGGCCATACACCAATAGGCAAATGAATAGTCGTATACATAAGTACAACACTGCGCAGCATATGCCTTGACTAGCGCGTAACACTCTGTTTTCAGTTATGGGGGAAAGAAGAACGCTTTTTTTTGTTGAGTTGTACAAGAGGTCGGGCAGAAGATCAGAATCTGAAAATGAAAACAAACCAACAAAAAAACAAACCACTAAACCGAACATCTGAGCCGTTTAGATAAAAACGAAGAGAAACAGCCATTCTGTCGTCATTTCTCACAACCCACAAAGGCCTTCACAAACGCCAAGCGATCGTCGCCGCCCATCACGGTTCACCTCCGGGGTCGTATATAGGAGCGTTGTCTAGTAAGATTCGCCACCGGTTCCATTGTGGCTCTGGCCGACCATGGAGGTGTACCCATAGTTCGAGTTGTCCTGCTCGGACGGGTCCATATTGGTGGGCAGAATATTGTTGTTATTGTTGTTGTTTTCCGATGCACCGGCAAAAGAGCTCGAGGCGTTGGCCGTCGCAGATGCTCCGCGCGCAGCGGATAATCCGCTCACTGAACCACCCACAGGACCACCGGTGTTGTAATTGCTGCTCGTAGTCCGGTTCTGGCTCTCACCCCTTGCCGACTGCGTCTGCAGCCAGTTAGTTGAAGATCATCCCAGGAGGATGAAGACGGGTCCTGGCAGTAAACAGGTTGTGCGCTCCCTGTCCTACCAGACAGCAACAGTACTCACCTCGCGATATTTTGTAAGATAGATCTTCAAGGCCTCGGCATAGTTTTCGAATCCAAGAGAGGTCATAGCAAACAGAATATCTTCACCGTTGACCGTCTTGCGCTTCTCTTGCTGGCATTTTTCAGACGCTGTCGGACTTGTTAGAACACGAAACTAGACGCAATATGACAAAAAGAAATAGAATTGATGAAAAGGACCCGAAATACTAACCTTCGCTGGTGATGAATGAGATGAATTCGCTCACGCATTCTTGCATGCACTCCTTGGCCTCTTTCGCAATCTTGGCATTCTCCGGTAGGGCAGTTTTCATTATACGGGCCACTGGTGACAAAGTGCAAACGTTAGCATCACATCTCCGGGCAGGCTAAAGATCCCATGATAGCCGAAAACAGAAAAGTAAGAAAAGGGATAGATGTCGTAGAATAAGGGAAATGGTAATATTCAAAGAGCCGCAAGCATGCTCTGCAGCGCGAACCGTAACTAGTAAAAAGGACGAATAAGGTACATGGCTCCAGGGGCGCTTAACGAGAAGCGCCCTGGATCCCCAGAAGCACCGGAGTACCCAAAGAAGAACCGGGTGTAGCGCAAAAAGGAACGGTCGCCTGCAAGCAGCAGAAGGGAAAGGGACGCGCAAATCAGGGGATCAGAACAAGATGCAGGAACACGTAAAACTAACCATTTGCAATAGGGAGCCACCGGTCCTGCTCCTTCACCTCGAACTCGTGGCCTTGGTTTTGCGTCTCTTGATTCTCCCGATCCATCTGTTCCTGGTCATCGCCTGACTGAGTCTCAGGTTCCACCTCGGGTTCCTTTTGAGGAGAGGCCGACGACATGGTTTTAGACCCTTGGGTACGTGCAGCGGATACCGACTTTAGAGGGAGAGTCCGGCTGCTCTGCTGGCAAATGACCACGTCAGAGGGGGGCGCGGGAAAGACTATGCTGCGGATGCGATGCAGGTCCTGCGTCAGAGTGCGTCTGGCTGGGCAGCGATTTGCTTCACAGCAGCCTGGGTCTTCTAAAAATTCCCGCCGTGTGGGGGACTGGTGGCGATGCTTGCAGTCCTACTTGGGGCACTGGCGGTGTACAAGAGGACGACGGAGGCGCGCCAGGGGGAGCGACCGCGCGCGGTTCCTTCCGAGCCGCAGATGAAGAACCACGCGAGGCCAGGCTCTAGCAGGGTGGACGAATCTGTGTCTTTGCTTCCGTCTGTCAGCAGCCGGTGTCGACGTCGAGAGCAGCGCGCGTGGTGAGAGCGGGAGAGGTAGCTAGCAAGCCGAGGAGACCCGTTCACGCAGAGGTGGGGGAAGGTTTCAATTGACGGGCTGGGGCACTACACCTTGCGAAGCAGCCGGAATCAGACGGCGACAGAGGCAGCGCGTACGCGACCGACTTCGAGGACCTGGATGATCAGATCGTGGTGGTGGAGGGCGTTTCTTGCGCAGCAGAGTCTCGACGATCAGGCGGCGCTCTGTTGTTGATGCGCGTAGGAAGCAATTGGCGAACCAGAGGTGGCGGATGGCAAAGCGCGAATGGCGGCAGAGCAGAGCTGGAGCTGGAGCTGTTCGTTGGCCGTCACAGACGCCGCAACAACCAAGGCGAGCGGACGCTGACTGGTGGAGAGCAGACGCCAAAACAGAGCCGTTTTGTACACCTCCCGCCAGGCTGGCGATTGGGCCGACACAGAACGAGATACAAAGAGAACGAAGTCCTGCCGGGCAGCCTTCTGGACGGTTCTCTGCGCTTCTCGTGATGGCGACTGCCCTTTCCGGCCTGCGTGAGGGGATGATTACGCGTTCCATACGGGCATGTAATTTAGCTATGCCGCTTTCGGGCATTCTGTGGGGGACGGCGCGCCGATCCCTTGCCTGAACGTGTAACAATACGGTATCACGTCATCGCCTGCGATCTACGTCACGCAAGTAGGTACGCTCCGGACATTCTGTAGATAAGCCTCCAGCAGCATGGATCTTCTGCCATGGCCTGGCGTGTCGCTGCCCAAGATCTCGACCTGAGGATCAAGGAGTATTCCTGTCTTGTTCCCCTCACAGTGCCCTGTTCAGCAGAACTTGGATCCCTGCCGACATTCCAACTCCGGTTCCTTAGCTAGGAAGTTCCAGTCAGTCCCTGACTCCCTGGCGGCATCGACAACCGCCTAGACAGGGCGATATGCTTGTTGTCAATATGCAGCTGCCTGTTCGTCATCCAACTTGCATGGCATAGCCTCGTCCGCGGTTGATTTCCAACCTCCATCCAGCTCATCCCTCGAGGTTACACTGCGGGTTTTCCCAACTCCTTTTTTTTACAACTGGTCATTACTTTTTTTCAGTCAGTGTGCAGCACATGCGCCACACCACCAGTTCCCTTGGAGAATAACAGATTTCAGACTGAGGGAATTAGACCTGTCGCTTGTGGTGGGCAAGATCCAAAGCAGGGCTCACTACCGTGTCCACCAGGTGCCAACATCTGGCTGGCAAAGAACCAGATATGCAATCGAAGAATTTTTGCAATGGGGCAACCTTCCAGAATCATCTAGGCCCTAGACATCATGTGTACCTAATGCATATTGTTTCTTGGGCAGAGACCAAGCCACTCCGGGGTGTTCTTCAATGAAACAGTAACAATGCATAATGAAGACTTCCTGATTCACCATCTCACCCCGGAAATATGTGCTGCGGGAATTGAACAACTAATCATTCAGCCTCTTGTTATTATTGCAGAGTCCAGGTGCCGTGTTCCATATCGATGAACTGTGTTGTCTGCAGTAATACTGCACCTACAATCCTAGACCCCCATTTTATCGAGTCCCATACGCGTAGGATCTACCCAAAACAAACAATCTGATACTTTAAAGTCTGCCATCTAGATGCATGGCGTGGATCTTCATCTTTGGCTTGGGATTTTAGATCACATCGATTAATGGCAACCCCCACTGTTTGAGAAACCATCAAGGACAGCCAGTTCACCCGATGGAATGGTCTCGTGGGTCTCAGTACTGCATGGTTCTCCACATCCACGTCATTATTTCTCCATCACAGTCTGTAATGCCATCTATACTCCGACCTTACGACAGCTGAAACAGGCAGCCTTATCGCCATACAGACTGCAAGTATCGGGACTTGACGTTGAAACGGCCAGTAGGCGTGAGGCCCAAGGTGGTGGCACAGTGGTACCTGACTGCAGCCCTCTCGAATCATCGGGCTCCATGATGCAGACCATGGACCAACCGAACTGCATGCTGGACAGGCGCTAAGTCAGCATGCAAAAGAGTCAGTGTCCAACCTGCCCGAGCAGTGAAATCCACCTAAGGTAGTAGTGTGGACTAAACCACTCACACCATGCAAGCCTAGTGTCCGCCTCATTGGGCTGCAGCGCATGGCCAACTCACTCGAGCACACCCATCTCTACAAGAACACGGCACAGAAAAAAATCAACTTAACTACAACAAGGAGGGGATGGGCGCGTGGGATGGAATCATTTCAGCAAAAAATCCCTTTCCTAAGTTTCTGGCTCCAAAAGAGAGTTTTCTCCTGCCTTATGATCGCATTACTTTGTGAATAAAACACATGGACCATCCCGCACTAGGAACAGTCGAGTTCATGTCCAGACACTGCCAGCTGTCAGGCATAATTGCATCTTCAACTGACCCTGGATTAACAGCATGGGTTTTTTTTTTGTTCATTCCTTCTGCTTCCTCAGCTGATGACGTGTGAAATCAAACATCCTTACAGCCGGCTGTTTTCAATCCCCGGAGGGGTGTGAGAGTGTGACATACTCAGGTAGACCTATCTCCGAATGTGTGCAATATGGGAGAGACAAAAGTCTGGAATGACTCGAGTCGCAGGTGTCTGTCCAACCTGCATCTCTCACATACCGAAAATCTTGGGAAAGGTAACCACAGCTCGGCAAGGATTTCTACTCTGCGGCCCTTTGTATTGTGCAGATACCGAAACCTTGACGTAAAGAGAGCAGTGTGCTCTCACTGTTGTACCACTTGGACGTTGTTTTTCCTCTGCGGAATTGGAAATTGTCAGCATATGCGTCTCTGGACGCGTAATGTAATGGGAATTCTAAGTTTATCGGTGGTGAAAAGGGAAGTTCTCTCCTGCAACAGCAGGATATTGTGTCCCCCAAAGACCACACCGTATCTGTTTCTCCCCATGAGACAGTGATGTAGAGATGCCGACTCACCTTCCACTCATCCATCTCAGTTTGCTTAGCCTTGTACTGCTTGACTAACTCATCGAGCACTTGCTTGAGTCCTTCAGCATTCGTTTTGAGGGCTGGAATCACATCCTGAATAGTGCGCTCGACCAGCACTCCGTTGACCATGCGAAAACATTTGCGGTCCTTGGGAAGGGGTTCGAGAGTTTCTAGAACGAGCCTAAAGCCATGTAAACGCATCAATTAGCAATGTGAAAAGAGCAGAAATTTAAAAAAAAAAGAAAGACTTAGCAGAGCAAGGCGAAAAAAAAAGTATCTATTGCCCCGTTACCACCCTTCTCCCGGAATCCCAAATACACGTTGCCATCACAAGCTAGCCAAATAGAAGGTGAAGCACTCACTTATGCTCCTCTGCCTCTTGTTCAATATCCCCGATCTTCTGCGCAAGTTGCTGCAGGGTGTTCTTGAAGTTGGAGTACTGGAGCTGAAGCTCTATCAGGAACATAACTGGTCAGCATTCGTCCTGTGGCGCAATTTCCAACATACGCAATAAGATGGACAAGGAAGCTGAAATCATCTTACCCTGCTGCCTTTTCAAGTTCGCCTGTTGCTGGCTCGCCATGGTGAGGAGTCGCTGCTATTTACAGCGTCTAGTTTCGAACCTGGCTGGTGATGCGGGGCCGCAACAGCTGCGATATCAAAGTTGGTTTCGTGAATCGCGCCAAGATCCGAGACCGCCTGCGGCCTATCAGCCTTATCGATCGTCGCTAGTAAACCTCAACGCCTCGACGTGTGAGAAACGGGAAAATGACTAACGAAAGAGAAAAAGAGCATAGACAGAGAAAGGAATATTCTCATAGTGCACAAATCCTGTCATATACGGAGTACTTATTGAGGATGATTTAATGTCTCTGGTACAAGCTGCTGCGCATAGGTCTACAGATCTGCTTAGTCATCACATGTTTGCACTGTTTGTCAAATGTCGAATGATTTCCCCTCAAGGTCCGCTTCCTCCTTCGAACTTCCTACAACCAGTCAAAATAGCTGGCTGCTTCACGCCGCCAGTGTCAGGAGAAAGGAGAGCTAATTCTCATATATTTTGTTTGATTCTCCTTTCTTGACATTGATTTAGCCCATCATGACGCGCGACGACGCTCCGCCGCCGGCCAAACGGCAAAAGAGCAATCTCCCGCCACCACTCCGCGATGCGAAACGCAAGGACATAGACAACTGGGAGACAAATCGGATGTTAACTTCGGGTGTCGCGCAGCGAAGAGAATACGATGGTGACTTTGTTCCTGATGACGAAGAAGGAACTCGTGTGCACCTGTTGGTACACGACCTGCGCCCGCCCTTCCTCGATGGCCGCACCATCTTCACCAAGCAGCTTGAGCCTATATCCGCAGTGCGCGATCCCCAGAGCGACATGGCTGTCTTTAGTCGGAAAGGAAGCAAGGTCGTTCGAGAGCGGCGCCAGCAGCGGGAACGGCAGAAGCAAGCGCAAGATGCTACGACTGTCGCGGGCACCGCCTTGGGCAACATAATGGGAGTTAAAGAAGACGAGGAGGGCGATAGCGCAGTCGCGGCACCAATAGATGATGTGTACAAAGGAGGGAATCAATTTGCGAAACACATGAAGAAAGATGAAGGTGGCGCCAGTGCCTTCAGCAAGAGCAAGACCCTTCGTGAGCAGAGAGAATATCTGCCTGCATTTGCAGTGCGGGAGGAACTGTTGCGCGTGATCCGGGATAACCAGGTCATCGTCGTCGTCGGAGAGACCGGATCAGGGAAAACAACGCAATTGACCCAATTCCTGTATGAGGACGGGTATGGCAAGTATGGGATGATTGGGTGCACACAACCGCGAAGAGTGGCGGCCATGAGTGTTGCCAAACGTGTGAGCGAGGAGATGGATGTGGAGTTGGGAGGTCTGGTTGGCTATGCAATCCGCTTTGAGGACTGCACCAGCGATAAAACTGTCATCAAATGTGAGTTCGCGCATTGTCCTGTTGCTTTCTCTGCTACAGTACTAACGATGTTTCCAGATATGACCGATGGTGTCCTCCTGAGAGAATCGTTGGTTCAACCAGACCTCGACAAATACTCGTGTATTATTATGGATGAGGCGCACGAGCGGGCTCTCAATACTGACGTCCTCATGGGTCTGATCAAGAAGGTTCTGGCTCGACGAAGAGACCTGAAGTTGATCGTGACGTCTGCCACCATGAATGCGGAACGGTTTTCTCGGTTTTTCGGCGGAGCTCCCGAGTTTATTATCCCTGGAAGAACATTCCCCGTCGACATTCAATTTTCTCGCTCTCCCTGTGAGGACTACGTGGACAGTGCAGTCAAGCAGGTCTTGGCTATCCACGTCTCACAAGGCCCTGGCGATATATTGGTGTTCATGACGGGTCAAGAGGATATTGAAGTAACCTGCGAACTCATTGAGGAGAGGTTGAAACTCTTGAATGACCCTCCCAAGCTGATCATATTGCCCATCTACAGTCAAATGCCGGCGGAGCAGCAAGCAAAGATCTTCGAAAAGGCCCCTCCCGGGGTTCGGAAGGTGATTGTCGCCACCAACATCGCCGAAACGAGCTTGACTGTGGACGGGATTATGTACGTGGTGGATTCTGGCTTTTCGAAGCTGAAGGTCTACAATCCTCGCATGGGTATGGATACTCTTCAAATTACGCCGATCTCACAGGCCAACGCTGGCCAGCGCGCCGGACGAGCAGGCAGGACCGGTCCAGGCAAAGCGTATCGGCTTTACACGGAGCAGGCTTACAAGAACGAGTTCTACCTCCAGACAATCCCTGAAATTCAGCGGACCAGTCTTTCCAATACGGTTCTCCTTCTCAAGTCGCTTGGTGTGAAGGATCTGTTGGACTTCGATTTCATGGATCCTCCACCGCAAGAGACGATCAGCACGTCTCTTTTCGAGCTGTGGGCACTCGGGGCTTTGGACAATTTGGGTGAACTGACGCCGCTGGGCCGGCGCATGACACCGTTTCCGATGGATCCATCTCTCGCGAAGATGCTGATTACAGCTTCGGAAGAGTACGGCTGTAGCGAGGAGGTGCTGACCATTGTGTCGATGTTGTCGGTGCCAAGTGTATTCTATCGGCCGAAGGAACGTCAGGAAGAATCGGACGCAGCTCGGGAGAAATTCTTTGTGCCTGAATCCGATCACCTGACACTGCTCCATGTGTATACACAATGGAAGGCCCATGGCTATTCGGACGCGTGGTGCACGAAACACTTTCTCCACTCGAAGTCCCTCCGACGCGCGAAGGAGATCCGCGAGCAGCTACAAGACATCATGGCAATGCAGAAGATGCCTCTGGTCAGCTGCGGCACCGACTGGGATGTGATCCGCAAGTGCATCTGCTCGGGATACTACCACCAGGCGGCTCGAGTCAAGGGTCTTGGCGAGTTTATCAATCTGCGGACCAACGTAACGATGCAGCTACACCCGACGAGTGCGCTGTACGGGCTGGGATATGTGCCGGACTACGTGGTCTACCACGAACTGATCCTGACGAGTAAGGAGTACATGTCGGTTGTGACAGCTGTTGACCCACATGTAAGTTTCCTGCGAATTCGAAAAAAAAAAAGTTACATAGCTAACGTAAATATAGTGGCTCGCCGAACTCGGAGGCGTCTTCTACTCCATCAAAGAGAAGGGCTATTCACACCGCGAGCGCCGCATCACTGAGCAAGAATTCAACCGACGGATGGAGATCGAAGCGCAGATGGCGGCCGACCGCGAGCGGGCCGCAGCAGAGAAGGAGAAGGAAAAGGAGCGCAACGACCCAGCGCGACGCAAGAGGGAGATCGAAGCCGGTAGCGGTCCAACCATCCGCACCGCCGTGCGAAAGCCTGCCATAGTTGGCGCGCGACGACCGGGAGGTCTCGTGACGGCTTCTTCGACATCGACCAACGGAAGCAGCGGCGGAAGCAGCGTGGTAAAGAAACCGCCGACGACGAGGAGACCTGGAAGGGTCTTCTAATCAGTCAGTTAGTCGGATGACAGTTAGTCATATTTTCTTCATCAGTCAAGATACCTACCTACCTACCTACCTTGTTTTGTTTCGTTTCGCTTGAGATACCATTTCAATTCATTTCATATTTCGCTTTCCTACCCGAGGGTATTATTATTATATTATGTATGGGGGTATACATTACATTACATGCATGCATGAATGGCATGTTCTATTCTGTGCTGTATGTACTGTACAGGAAAGGCATGTAGATAGACATGATAAATAGATATGATATGATAAATAGATGGATGGGTGGACAGATACACAGATACACAGATAACCAGAAGCAATTCCTCTTTTTTTTTATTGTCAGTCTCCTGCTAACTGAAATTTAAATAATGAACGTAGTTTCGTCCATTATTCCATTTTTTATTCCATTTCAGTACATATATTTACATTCACACTTGTCTATTTGTCGACAGATGATTCCTAATTCCTACATTCTAATCCTAATACAACAATCCTAATATAATATAATCCTGCAAGAAGAAAAAGGATGAAAAAAAAAAGAGAAATCCTTCCAGAAACCTTCTCTTTGAAGGATTCCATCATTCATCACACACACACACTCTCTCTCTCGCTCGCTCTTTTTTATTTTGTTCTTTGGACCCTTCGCTTCCCAATTGTTGATTTAATACGTTCTTTTTGTTTATTTTTCAGTTAATAAAATTAATGCAGAAAAAGTGCAAGATCAAGCTGCCGAAGATGTAATCCGCAAAGGCCCTACAAACAAACAAAAATACATAATTAGTCACCGACATCACAATAATGGATCGATTGATGATGGATATAGATACATACCTCTCATGCGAAGTCTCCACATTCGTATCCTCCGCCGAAGAAGCCCCGCTGGAGGCGTTCTTCCCTTTCGATGACGATGACGATGACGATTTATTATTGGAACCGACGACGCTAGGAGCAGGACTCGTCTGCATCCGCAAACTAGCAGTTAAGACAAACTGCCCCACGGCAGCAGAGAAGCCGCTGAGGAAAGCGTTGAAGGGCTAAAAACCAACCAAAAAAAAATCAGTCAGTAGATCAACCAATCCCTTCGGGATTTACTGTTTTCACGTACGTAATTCCCCGCCAAAACGCAATACACAAACTGTACTGCCCCCACAACGACCAGAAATGCCATGAATGCATCGAGTAGGAATGTGCGCGGAGGCGTTTGCTGTATGTATCGCTGCCAGATGTGCTGGATGATTACTTGCGGAGGGGAATTGGGTGATAGGGAGACTGGTCCGGACGAGGACGACGAGGAGGACGATGTCGTTGTTGTTGTTGTCGTCGCTGTTGTCGTTGTTGCTGGCGTAGAGCTGCCGGAGGAGGAGGATGGGCTCGTGGCTGCTTGTCGTTTTGGAGCCATTGTATTGTTATTGTTATTGTGATTCTTGTTGCGGTGTGTTAGTGTTCGATTGACGTTTGACGTTTGACGTTTGACGTTCGACGTTCGACGTTCGACGTCCTGGATATACCTATGCAGGTCGATTTGGATAAGTTGCAATGGTGTATGTATGGTCGAGTCGATGCGACGCAACTTGTCATCTACCTAGCTAACAGCCGCGTGTCCGCATCGAAGCTCCGACAGATTGCGGAGTTCGCCAAGACCGCCGCGTGATGGCTTGGTCCGTGCTCCCGCAGTATCTCCGAGGAGCCGTTCCTACTTCCTAGATCTTAATACTCCGTACACTGCAGGATAAGATGCGGAGTATATAGATGACTGCGTCTATCTCTGATTTCTATCCATTGAGTATAAGCTACATATATACCGTCAAGTCATCAATATCTAAATAACCGAAAGTAAGTTCAATGCATATACAGTATGTACATACAGTACATGTATTCACAGTAGAGAATCCCAATGCGAACTAGACGCCGTCAGCTAATGCCCTTGGAAAGGAGATGTTGAATCAATAATGTACATGAGAAATGAAATATCCCGCTGAACAACCTCTAGCCAAATCGAACGCCTAAATAACCACCTTAGATGCATCAAGGCACAATCCGTTGCCATATCATCAGTCACGTATGCACATATATACAGTGTCGTTGATTCGAACATCAAAAATTGGCTTCGTCATGTCCAAGGCAATTCACTCGTTCTGACATTCACAGAAACGAGACAAAATCTGCTATACTGGGCGGCCCACTGGTCTGCTCGACATCCATCTGGAAATCGCGCAGGACACTGTCCCACTGATCCCAGTCTTGTGGCATATCCAGTCCATCTGACGGCTCCTGACC